AAACAGAATAGATCCTTACAAATTTTTTAACGACAGGTCCAGTTGTATAGGATTGCAAAATATAATCAACAGCTGCTATAAGTTTATATAAATTTAAATTAATAAAATTTAATAAGATAGAAACACAAAGTATTACATCGCCGTTTACCAGCAACTGTATTGATATCCTCAACTTTTGCAAGTTCAAACCAACATGCGCCGGCTCTTGGATCATCATTTAATGGAATGTCACTAGATTTTGCAGCAAGGAATATCGCAGCCGCCGATATTGTTTTAGAACTAAAGAAAAGCATAATGGGAACGTACATACTAAATTACAAATAAATAATAATGTAAATTAAGTGCTCTAAAATGGTAAAAGGAATATAAGAAAAAATTCACCAATCCATTAGTAATTGAAAACTGCATCCGATTAGGCGATTCACTATCTCTTGGTCATAACCTGTTGATCAAATATTTAGAAATCTATTAAAAGAAAAATTGAACCATTTCTTCTTATTAATTTACCGGTGAGAGAGTCACGAAACATGAACAAAAATTGAAATGGAAGTTTAATTTCCAAGTAAGGATATATCACAAAAAATATGATTGATTCATATTTCAAAATTTTATGCCTCCATTTATTAATTTCCTAGAAAAAAATGCATTGAATCTTGACATGTTAGGATGGATTAAATCCATTTTCAAAGAATGAATCATATCGTGTTATAACAAATACATGATCACTGCTCATCTGTTGCATTTGTTTCAAGGATATTCGCGCGCTTAAATCAGAGATAAGATTGAGATCTCGTCTATTATCCGTTATTTTTGCTGTAAGGAAAAGACATGATGCACCAACATCCTATTTTACACCGAGACAATTTTCGAAACGCATTAGGAATTAAACAATTCAAAACGGAAGAGAAAAAAAAGATATTAATAACAACACGCCATAGATTCGCGCTTACAAAGCAGTTGAATTCTTTCAGACTTTTATGCATGTAAAATATATGGAAATAGTGAGCGGCCAATGCGTAGGTATAACTGTCACTATATATTTGTTAGTTAAGTTAGGAAACAACAATCCTTACAAGTACATCAATCTTTATTTTTAACCAAATTTTTAAAAGTAATCTTTGAGACACTTCAACATTGAAAATATACTAATCATTGTAAACATTTTGCGTTATCTTGTGAAAGGATACAGTAATAAAGAAGGATTTGTCCTTAATCTTTCCATAAACTGTACTCCTTTAGTCCGTTGAAAAATTTCTTGTGTATAGGTCATATTATCACGTCGCGAAGGTGTGTTGTAATGAAATTCGTATGCGGTCAAGTGCCAAGGTTCTGTAGTGTATTGAATGTTGTTTTCCATGGCAAACTGCAAAAATCAATCTCCAAGAGCCGTGATTTTACAGATCGTTTGTTTTGATTAAAATTTACAAAAATCGAACATCAATTTTTTATCGTATTTTATCATAATTGTAGTTATGATGTCATTTGGCATAATCACATGTATTTGGGCAGCTATCCTATAATCCCATTTTCTTCACAAAAAAGTTTAATAATAATACTGAATCGAAATATCATCATAAAATTGATGTCTTACATATTATTTGATACAGTATCTATATTTTTTGGGTATAAATACGATGTTGGCAATCGAACGTTCACACATGAAAATGTGGCGCAGTTAATATATTGTCAAATCTGGCAAACACCCGTTACACCTTGTTATTCTGCGCCGCTAACCTAATTGTCGTAGTGCACTGACTAAAGACTCAGAATCTAATATTAATACCCGTTTGGCGACATGTATGTTTGTATCGTGGGTACTTTGTGTATAGGTATATATATGTAATGCGGAAATCAATATGTGGTAATATGATGCAAAATACTCCTCGATTAAAAAAATATGCCATATAAAATACCGGTATTTCAACTGGGAGGTACGTGCATACCAAAAAATGGAAATATTTTAGTCAGTGCACTACGGTAGCACTCTCAGTTGGAAGTTTTTTATAAGTACAAAGGTTTGACAAACGTTGTATTGTCAATGCCATTATCCTATTTTTGATATTAATCAGCAAAACTCCAACGGTGTGAACTTTTTTTTCTTTTCCCAAATACTAATGATTATGTGATTCGATGTACGATAGTGGTGCTGAAAAATAAATTCAATTAAAAGACTTCGAGTCTGCAGAAAACGCGTAATTCGAACTTGAACTAAAATGATAATATGTCCTCTGAAAATTAAATGAAATTACATCAGATAACATAGCAGTAGTACAAGATAGTTAAATAAGAAATGACAGAATTAGAAGACTATGTGGTGGTCGTGAGAGAAATTTAATGCCGGTCTGATTTGTTGTTTAATCCGACCCTGCTCGTGTAACTCTTGACTACTTCTCTTCCTTTTCGATATGTTGATCTTTGTAGTGCATTATTTCACATGCATGAAGATTTTAAAAAAGAATACCTTAAAAAACACTAAAATTTATGTAAAATGGAAGAAGGAATTATATAGTAAATTATAGATTTTCTTCCCTAAGAAGATAATCACCGAAGCGAAGGTAGTGTCGTTAGTATCGAAACGGAGGAACCCATACCTGTATATGATTGTAAAATGAATAAGTGAAGCGAATCAAAGCTCGATTTCAATTAACCTTATGAAACTAAGTTTCTCAAACGACAGAGAATCAAGTCAATTGTGATTACCTATGAAACAAATTCATTCAAATAAAAGATACATTTACACTTAATCCGGTTGATTCATTTAAAATTAACAATTCAAATTCACGAAAGATTTTATTTATATAGTAAAACTACATTTTGCTTAAGTAAAAATAATCCTAAATTTTTTTTTATTTAAACAGATTTATGTAAAATTATTATTACTTCTTAATTCACTCAATTCATACTAATTTAATCAGTAAGCAATTAAAAGTCCCATAACGATAAATATTGCTTCACATTGCAATTATTATAAATCAGATATATATATTTAATTTATTTTGCCTGTGAATATGAAAAGCCTACATATTCAAACTCGATGATCGCAAATATTTACCTCTAATAATACCTAATATGACAAAATTAACACACCTAAATAATCTATATGCGATATATCATGTAATTAAAACGTCTATTCGACCTGCCAAATAGAAAATTCTACCTCAAATAATACTGTATTAATAACCATTTGAAACATATACCACATAATATGTACTTAAACTTTTGACCAATAAAATTTTAAAGTTACACACAGAAACATTATATCTTTAATAATAGATGTATGCCGAGGTTCATCTTTTGTTTAGGTATCGTCTTTTGTGTCAAGGATTTCATCTTTTGTCTAAGGTTTCGTCTTTTGCCTGAGTTTCTTCTTTGTCTGGGGTTTCATCTTTTATATGAGGTCTTAGTTTCACTTCATGCCATTTTCTATCAAGAAATATAAGTTTCACA